TATTTTTTAATAGCGATATTAGTAATTCAATAATTTTCAACCCCGGTCGATAACTGATCAATTATCACTTGATCATTTTTTTTATCCCCGCCAGGCGTCGACCGGTGTCACTTCTGACCCAGTAAACAGCACGGAGTAGGGATGAGATCTCTCTCACACAATGAGCCGTTTCTCACTCCCTACAGTTTTCGGCCATTATTATTATTGTTTGTGCATCAACCGTAATAATGACATTTACTATTACTATTAATAAAAAAAATATACACGATATACACTGAATAACACTAAATATAATATAGATGGTAGAAGTGAAATTTCTTTATGAAAAAACTACTAAAATAATCCTAGGATTAATTTATATGGCAAAACAACGTTTGCCGGGTCAACCTAGTTTATTTATAAGATAATCGTATTTAACTTACATGCAAGTAGGATCAGTGAGAAACTAAGAGAAAATATGGGGTATTTTAAAATAGACAAAATAAATGAAAACTTTTTGAGCACTATATAGGTGTTCCGCTTTGATTATTTGTATATTTTCGTATAGTTATTTACAGTGCAGTAGAATAACAATTTTCTTTAAAAGCAAGAATGTTATGTAAAATGCAAAAAAGCAGAAATAGTTTAACTCTGTCATTGAGGCTGAATTACGTGTCATCGTTGTCCAAAGCGAAGTGTTCTTAAATAAATATACTGAAATAATATAATAATATAGGTACCTATTTAGTATATGATATATAAGTACTTTGATAAAAATGAAGCATCAGCAACCAATCATTGATAAGTGTGTTATCCTCTATAATTCTCAAACTATTTACACTCCCACAGGAAATATTTGTCATCTTGCATCTTTTATAAACAGTAATCACAAATAAAAGCTGACTTCAAATTGTAGTGCCTGTTTATCTCCATTCATCCCAAACCGTCTGTAGCTCTCCTGAACGCTAACGCTGGGCCCAGGTATAAAAATAAATGCGTTTATCGTCTGAGGCATTATCAGTGTGGCCTAAATAAATCGATAAAAACACCCATGGGGTAATAAAAATTGACTCCTATACTAACAGGACATTAGGTGGGTACCTGTTACCTGGAAAAATTATAGGTTTTCTAATAGACATAACAAATATTCCTGTAACAACGCTATGATTTATTGTTATTAATACACCGTCAAGGTAATAAAGTGTCAAGTTTTATTTGAATTGAATTTTAAGTAGAATCGGCCTTTTTGGTGTGACGTAATGGTCTTCTTAAATTTATATATACTGAATAGAAATTTCTATTTTATGCTAATATAATTATACGGTAAATTTTGAAACCATTACGTGAAAATAGTAAAATTTATTGAGCCAATAGAAGACGATTATTTTTTGTGTCACTGAATCCGAATAATGTTACGAAAATTGTTGTTATTTTGCTGGACTATTCGAGTCCAGTCTTATTTATCGTACTTAAAAATATTTTTCTGAAGTCGTACGGAAATGTGTCTTTTTCGACCCAATTTCAGACCCAATAATACCGTATTCTAGTATTTTAATTCGTTGCTAAGCAACCATCAGCAAACAGTACGGGAAAGTTACCTTTCCAACCTAGGCCGGGAAAGTTAACTTTATTTATATTTTATTCACATTTTATATTTTATACAGTTATCAATACACGTAGGCAAACCAACTCTCATCAAAAATTCATTATTTAGTCAATATAACATTTATTGAACGTATTCCACATGTTAAACGTTTATTATAACTATTTAGTTATGTTGCAGTTTGTTCAACTATTAAATATTGGCTGAACTTTACTCGAAAAGTCGGCGATGTTATTGCTGTTAATTATTTCTTTTTCGACAATATTATTACTAGGCTTACTACGGTGAGGAGTTTAACAGGACTGTAGTCAGTTTATAATGCGTTCACACACAGTACAAAACAGGTGATACGTATGTCCCTGTAACCTTGGGGATCACTGTCAAACCACATTTGAAATAATTCCCGTCTATTTCTTTTCTCTTTTGGCATTTTACTTCACTTTTCCCTCTAACTAATAGTTGTTAATGTAAATTATGTTACTATTTATAAATAGTTATTTTTTAAATACACAAACGGCGAATGCAATTTACAGCAAACGTAAAAAAGAAAAGTAGCGACGCGACATCAAGTACTACAAGGTTCCGTAAATAACTAAACAGTTCAAAACGCGAGTCAGCTGTGAAGGCCACCGACTCCCGCGCCGGCTCTGTTAGACTCTGCACGTGCACTAAGCCTAATTATTACTATTAGCAAATGTCTCTTTGTCAAATGTTTCTAAATATCTGTGTCTAGTTTATTTGAAAAAGATTCCTCAGCATTAACCAAAATGGTCGCAGAGGATCTACGGAAACAATGTCCTGTGTGTTTATTTGCATTTGGCAAATTTAAAAATTTTGCGATAATTTGAGACATTTACCAAACTGATGTATTCCTACTACTTGCCTGCAACCATTCCCATTTGAATATTTAAAGAAAAAACGACAACATTCAAACTTTTCTTGGCGACATGCAACATATTTTCTATACAGTGGCATATAAGATTTTCGTTTTATTATTCGATATTTGAATCAAAGGCTTTGATCTTAATCATCTATAATCATCTATATCATTCAAATTGAATTGATACGGTTCATCACAGTGACATGCACCGGCAACACCAAATATTAAGGAATCCTAAAATAGAAAAAACTAATATAGATTTTATAATTTTTACACTTAAATGTTTCAAGTTGTTTATTTAACAAAACTTGTAACTTCTTTGGTTTATGGTTATCACCTTGACGTTTTAGGAAAACACTTAATTTCAAATACTTACTTTGATGTATCAATGTCAATTTGACCATAACGTAGATTCCTTCAACTTTGTAGATAAATCGGAAAAGTATGCAATCATAACATCAGGAGGTCGTATTTTTTTCAAGGCAATCTTGAAACGTAAGCGAATTCGTACTTTTTCCTATATTTGTTTGGTAATAAATTTAAAGTCACATTTTTTGCTGCTGCTACTACTCTGGTGGTGTCCTGGACACCTGAACATTATCACCACCGTCCATTAAAAAAAAAAATTTAATATATTTTAGCACATTCGTGTAATCTTTGTAGTATTTTGAAAAATCCTTAGGAAATGGCATTTAGGTACTGCCCTATTACTTCCTTTTTGGTACTTGCCTCGTATGTACAGAACTGAAATGAAGCTATGCGTCTGCATCATCGACATTGTGCTTATCTACCGCCGTTTTATCTTCATGGGATAAGCACGTATAAGAAAAAAAAAATTGAAGTGTTTGCACATTGCGTTTCTGGAGTACCAAAACTATACTTTGATCACTTGACAGACACTTAACCAGACGATTATAAAGTTAGATTTACTGTATTTGTTGCATGGAGTGATATTACTTACACTTTTATCTTCTACGGGAAGTTCAAAGGAATACAATACTAAGTAAATGGCATATTTATACAGGGTGTAGGTACAAGTCATAACTTCAGGAGGTTGCTTCTTAGACAGTTTTCTGAAAAAGCTAATAAAATGTTTTAAGCAAAAACTGTGTTGATTTCAAAAATCCAAAAACATTTTGTATTTTATTTATAGATTAGGTACCTATTTAAAGAGTTTATTAAATTGTATCTCAATTGTTTGAAATCAATATTATGTACAATATTTGTTGAGATAGAATTCCAAGAAGATTGTCGGAACTACTGTAACAAATTTAGAATTGTATGAGAGTTTGCGCAATAAAACAATTTTTCTAGCAGCAAATTTAATCCGTACGATATTTGTTGAGATAGAATCCAGGAAAAAAATTGGCCAATAAAGTGCTGTTATCGGAACTACTGTAACAATAATTTACAGTGACAGGGGCGTGCCTTTTGTAAATTGTCACATTCTTTATTTTGAAGGAAAAAAATACATAATTCTCTAACTCCATCCGTTTTTCGTACCTATATCAATACCGGTATTTTCAGGAACTTATTTCCACATGTTAGTATCTCGAAACTAGTCGAAAGCATAAAAAACGCTGAATAGAAAAAGGTCTTACAATTGCATAAGCCAATCTTTGCCTACCTAATACAGGGTGTCTCTGAAAAGGATAGACAACGCTTGACCACAGGTTGTTTGGATGAAAATAAGACTATTTAGCCTAACTTACCTATATACAAAAGTGCACGCCTACTGAGATATAGCTTTCTAAATATAGGACAGATAACCTAGTCTTTTCAAATTATTAAAATATTTTTCTTAGAAACTTCAAATTTGGTACACATATTTTTTTTATATAAGGGCAATGTAAATATATAATTTGGTGAGAATACATATACAGAATGTTCTTTTTCTAGTGCCTGTGCGCCCTAGCTATCCCGTAACTTTTTTGTGTATACGACAGGATTTATATTTTAAAGGGTCGGCATTACCCGAATCAGTTTCATACCTTCAATTTCCCAGAAACGGCCGTATTCGTCGAGGACGCAGTTTTTCCGATTCCAACATTTCTGGAACTAAACTGGACCATACATTAGGCTGTTTAGCGGAATCCACCCCACCAGTAAGAGAACACCAACTTTCCGCAGTTTGTTAACCAGAGTATGTATGCCTGGCTAGAGAATCTCAAGGATTCCTATTGTATAGCAACCACCGCATTGCGTTCACTCTATTGCTGTATAAATGTATGCTTAAAATAGCAATAAAGCTCATGAATTTATAAACCGCTTAAAATGTTTTAGAATTATTTGGAAAAAATGTGCATGGAATACTAGGACTCCGTATATAACTAAACTTTTTTTATCCCACATTTAATTTACAACCACCGAACACACCAACACATTATTTTCAAACTTAACAATAACATTTACCTAATAACAACTTCTTCAATGATCTTCAGTTATTTAAAAAAAAAAAACGTATTTCGGAAGATGTATGGGAGATTTCCGAAAGCTATTTCACTCGTTTGCTAACAATGCCTTTATTAATTTTTTCAGGTATGGGTTACGGTCTGGGCCCTAATATGCCTCGTCATCAGCTTGGGAGCAGTCCTGACCTTGACCATAGGCGGAGGCCGCGTGAAGGCTAGGCCCCTGGTCAGTTTGGCACTCTGCTATGTCTTGGTGAGCGCCGGTTGGGCGTTGAGGATGTTCTCGGGGAGAATGTCGGCTTCCTGTCCCAAGGTTCCCGAAGACGGCCTGTCAAACGTCAACTGTGCGTTCGTCTTTCTTCTCCTGTACTATTTCGGGATGGCTGCAAATGCGTGGTGAGTACTAATTGTTTTTTGGCGTGTTTTCTTTATCCTTCGGGAGACGTCCCAGATGTGTGGCACCTTTTAGGTAGTAACTTTATACGTGCCTACATTGTCTATTTTTAAGTTAGTAATAATCTTTTTTTATTTAACAGCATACTCTCTTAGGTCTGCAATAATATAAGAAATTTAATTCAAACAATGAAATTTTGCATGTGACCCCTTTTTAGATTTTATACTAATCTCGGTTTTTAATATTATTACATATTATGTGTTATAAAAAGTTGCGTTTTTCGCGAACATTTGCTAGTTTTTTGATATATTGTACGGGTTACAGTTAATTTTTTTTCGTAGAATCTAGTGGCTTATATAAATTTTTAATAATTTTTACGGTTTTCAATAGAGTTGAAAAGTTACCTTTTTTAAATAGACTTAGTTAACAACTTAGTTAAAAAGAGGGTGTTCTATGTTTTCAATAAAGAAAAATTATGTATTCATCATTCTTATTTCAGTAAATAAAAAAAACTATTTGTCCATGGACAGCTATACAAAATGTTTCATTAATATTTGGTCATATGGCATCTAGATAATATTTGACGAAATATGAAAATTTAACCTAGCATACAGGGTGTTAGAAGTTTGACTGACTTAATTTTAACAGACGATGGAATACATTAAAATAAACAAACTTTATATGACATGGGTCCTAACAACCATTTCCGAGAAAAAAATTATCAAAATCTCTAACATATATATTGACATAACTGCGTGCATAGAATACCATAAAATCCAATGTTTATCACTTTTTTTTCCTTCTTTCTTTATGCTTAATTCTAAAAAATAGTTAGCGTTATAATAAATTTAAAATTCGATAAAATCCATGTCGAGCAATGTGACAACGGCGCTGCGGATAACACGAGGTATTAAGCTGTCCAGGATTACGCACTTCAGTTGGTATCTGGAATTGGACCGTGTCTGAGTGTTTTTTGCGTACCACTATTTCCTTTTCTTGAGGTGTTTTCCAGCGAGTGCGCGAAAAAATTGGATTCGAAGGTGTCGTGCATGCATCGAAAATGGTGATGGACAATTTAAGCATATGTTGCAGTTTGTTTTGTACTTGTGCGTTTAAAAATTACTGAGTTTTGCTTATTGGTAAGTACCTAAAATATTTTTAATACGTATGATTATTTTGATGACGTGAATCTTTGGGTACCTACTTTATTTATATATTTTTCAAATTCATAATTTGATTAAATGTTAAGTTCCTGTTTTAAGAGATTTATAATTACTATAAGTACTAAAATTCAAGCTAAAATTTAAGCACATACACGTACAACAAAATCGATACATTTTATTTATTTAAAAACTGGAAAACAATTGTCTTGAAATTTACTAAATGTTTCACAATAGTAGTTGTTTACATTTTTTCCGTATGACAAGTCTGCTGCGTGCACACGTGGTATGTACCAGCTGTGTAGCGTTAAGTTAAGCACTGTTGTAACGTTGTGATGAAACTCCCCAATATTATATACTCGCTGTATTTTGAAAACTTTTAATCTTACGCCACTGTAATATATAACTTTTTTGCTCATTTATGATTACTCTATCTCACGATGGAGTAATGGCAGTCAAACTTCTTACACCCTGTATGTACCTTCTTACTGAGGTTTACATTTTTATTGTTTTTGCCCATTATTTTGATATAACATTTGTTAAGTGAAATGTTATCATTGTATTTTACTTTCTTTTATTGAAATTGAATTAATTGATTTTTTATCAATTTCATTTATGCAAATGCAATATTGTTTTAATTAAGTAACTTACATTTTCAGTTGCCAAAATAATATCACTGCTGAATCGTATCAGAATCATATTACCACATATATAAGCAATAAGCAGAAAAAAACTGTATACAGAAGTTGTATATATAACATTTATGTCATGCCTACTACCAAAGGATTAAATTATAAACGTCTATGTTAGGGCATTCCCCTAAAATAAAAAAAGTTTTTTTCTGTTGGATCGTATTCCCGTTTGAAGTTAAAAATGATTTTATCTACATTTATGCGTGGTCGCTACAATGAAAGTTGAAAATTTTGAAAATTATTGATTAGGTTTATATTATGTTTTTAATTTATATTCAGATGAATCACAGAAGGGACAGATGACGAATTTCTAAACTACAAAGACTTTAAAAAAAATAATATTGAGACTCGAAAACAAAAAATTTTCAACTCCGTTAAAAATGTGTAGACACCTATGAAATTTTTTTCTCCACTTCAAAGCCTCGCGCAACTGATCGCTGAACACGATTGCACCATATTTAGTTTTCACAAATATTTCACATACACTAAAACACACATCACTTTTACTCTAAGGTTTGTTTACGGTTTTTTTGTACCGATATATCGGTGTACCATTATTTGTTTTACCGGTATTTGCTGTGCAAAACCATACTTATCGTATCAACTTCGACGGTACGTGGGTGTTATATAATAATGAAAACGTAATATTGACAGTTGGTTACAATTATTATTAAAGATTGCTCATTATTTATTACATGTTAAAATATGTATACATTGTCGTGACTGCCCGGATATTGCAATAACAATTCCTTTGTTTCACATTTAACTTGTTTTGTCATGATTACATTGTTCGAAAAACAACTAATAGAGCATTTCTTGTGCTCACTTTATGTCATACGCATATAAGAACCCTGTTGAATTTACTAACATTTTCGCCCGTGAGGAATGAATTTGTAAAAAGAATAATTGAATACAAAAGAAAAAGAATTGCTCTGGATTGCCTCCCGTATGGGACTCCAGTACCTTGAATTTTATTGTATTTACTTGACGTTTTCCATGCATTGTATTATGTTTCGGGAGAAATGAAGCTTATTATTATTATTATTGTTATTGTTGTTGTTATTGTTGTTGTTATTATTATTGTTATTATTACCTTCCGGCGCTGCCGGCTAACTAACACCAAACCTCTTCAGTTTTACTTGGAAGTGTGTATGTCTAATTCGAGTGAGGTGACATTTAGTGACACATTAAATGAGTCAGGTCTTATTTATCATTAGTAAAGGTTCTTAATGTATGCCTTTTGTTAGCGGTTGTTTTGTATTTATATTTTGGTAGTTAGAGCAACGATCGTGGGTTTCTCTGCCATGCTCTTTCCACACAGAAGCTCTAGGTGAGCCTGGCACTCTCATTTTATGTTAAATGGTTGTTAATGTTTCTGCTGTTCATTCTATTTGTCACATGTTTAATTTGAATACTGTTGTACGTAAATAATAAAGTTAGGTGTATTTACTCTGCTTTTGTTTTATAAAATTAAACCATACTTCCCCTCTTTAAAGTTAGTCCTTCCGGTCAATTAAAACAATAGATATATATAACGTAGGTATTCCTTATGACGATCACATATTTTTGGCCATAACTACGTTTATTTTTTTTTTTTTTTCGATCGAACCCGGGTTGTTATACTACATTGCCTGCACTAGCTTCATCTGCCTTGCACATATCAGCCCGATTGACTTCTCTTTCTAAGGCCAGTCCATAGTTTATAAGGTCTATGATTTTAATGTAAACTTGATATTATTATTTTAATAATTTTTAATTTTACCGATTATTAATGCTAACATGAAGGAAATAAAATATTTACTTTACGCACTATTTTTATAATTTTACGTAAGTATTATGCAGCGTCCGTAAAGTTAAAAATACGCGCGGTTATAGAAAAAATCAATTTTTTAAATATGTTTATCGCCTTGCAACATCATCTGACTTATGTCAATCGAAATGGTAGAAGATTAATCTGGTTAGGTAAAATAGACCTCGGTTGCCAAAACAATAATAAATCATTGGATAAATATAAGTAGTTGATAACAACTCTGGATATTTATTTTAAGAACATTAATCCATTAAAAAATTCAGATTATTTTTGTAACTGTTTAAAAAATAGCACGTACCTATATACGAGTATTGCCATGATTATTCATATTATTATTCAAAGTAAACTTGTTATAGTTTTGATAATAAAAAACTTTTCGGACTAAAATTATGATTGTGTGCCTTCAACTTTGATTAAGAAATTGCTTTTGTTACATATAAAACCATTTCAAAGAGAATTCAAGTGGCTTTGCCATACTCGTTCTCAAATCAGTTGCAAAAAATTACTTCACGTAATAAAATCGATAAGGTTACCGTTACCATATCCAATGTTTGATCTATATTATGAAAAATTGCCGTTGTCATTACTTAATATCACTCTTTAGATACAGTTCTTTTAAAAGGCGTGTAAAATAGAGTTTTTTCACGGATCCAATCGACCGAATCCAATAAAAAAGGCGTACACACCTAAATATTTTTATATTTAATAAATTTAATAAATAGGTTCAGATAAAACCGGAATTCTAGTATTTATCAAGATAGTATACCTGTATGAGCGTTCATAAATTAATATAATTTATAACTCTATAAATCTTTGATATAAAGATTAATTGTCAATTAAGCCGCATTTCTGCGAAATGTGATACCAGAGAAAGATCCTTCCTTTAACTCGCCAAAATCTCTTATTATAAAGATAAATTTAATTCACATAATGTATTATGAAAGTTGATACATCCAGTAAAAAGAATGTAAAAAAGTCATGGAAGGCAATAAGTATTGCAATTTGCAATCCATCTTTCCTCCTTACGCACTTTTTTTATGTATCTTCGGAAAAAAGCGTCTAAATGAAAAATGACAGGAGCAGTCCCATTATTTTCGCTCAAAAATGTCGTGGTTTGACTTATTTCTACCATAAAAGTTCCTAATTTTTGATTGTTAGTATGTGTATCATTGCCGCACTTTAATATTATTATGAGGAATCTCCATGAAATATGATACAGATATTATCTGTTTACACTCATAAATTTTTGTAAAATTGCACATTAGATCACTGGTTATTTTGACACCACAACAGGTAATGTACAATTACATCATACAAGTAAAATTACATTAAGCATGCAA